AACAACGACACCTTCCCTTTCGGACGCTGAATCTCAACCACCTTCAGTCTGACAGCAATCGCATCTTCTTCGCGCAGGAAGGATATCTGCAGCCGGCAGAAGTGCTGCTTCACGACGTACGATGCAGGGAGAGATTGAATCGACGCCGAGTCAACAGCTCCAGCAGAGAGAGACGAGGCCCAGACCTTCCTCAGCAAAACCCACACCGTATTGATGATGTTGCCCAGCTCATTCTTCAACATGAAGGGTACCAGTAATATTGCCGTAAAGCGGAGACGAGCAGCAGCCTCTTGCTGGACGTCAATGTCAAGTTCCTCAACCGAGTCGTCTTCCAGGAATCCATCAGGCGAGAGCTGACACACTGTCGTTGCCTTTTCTGCAGGAGACAAGCCTGAGCTTCCAGCAGCCGAACTTGGCGTGGGTGACGGTACAGGAGTTCCCGAAGCATTATTCTCCTCAGGAGCAGGGACATCCGAATTGGCTGAGAGAGTAGCCGGGATGTCCTTGGTGAGAGTCTCTTCCACCGCTTGTTTCCCCTTGGCAGGTGCACGAGGCATGGTGCAATGATGACTTAAAACCGGCAGTGATGTGTAAGAGAAGGCCCGGAGTGCCTGATAAGCCGGATGTCTGAGCACAGAAGCTTGTGAGAAGTCTGTTATATAGCCAGACAGCCATGACTCTTGTTGCTTGTGCTGGTAGGCCACTGTCTTAGCCGTGTGGTATACTCCAGGACCTTGATAGCATAATCCTGACAGCCAGTAAAACAGCTTCTCGATATCCTTACGGATGTAGGAACACCCTGGGAATGACGCGCTAATGTATGGAGCCTTGAGCTTTGATAGCTGAGATAACAACAGGTCAGAGTAGGAGTAAGGTACAATGTTCGTCAGATGAACACCTAGGATATACCGAACTCTTCGTCTTGACGTGCCGGTTACAAAACTATTGTTCTTAAAGCCAGCTGACACGTAGGCTGCACGCGCGATGAGTTCCAGGCTACGGAGGTCCGGCCATGGCGGCCTTGGTAATGTCATTGTTGTCATCGTCAACGTCTGCAGTGAAACTAGTCACTGACGGTTCAGAGGAACGCACAAAGAGGGACGACTCACGGGATGGGACGAGCCCGCGTGTTGCATAGGGCGCGCACGGAATAACATATCTGGGGCGTGAAGGAGGTCGTTGTCGGCGGGCTTGCCGCAAGAAGAGAGCTTGAAATCCCGTAATTGCCACATTGGACACATTTCCAGCCGCATATCGCTTCACCTTCGTATCGCGAGGAAGCCGCATTTTGCCTCACCTGCCGCATATCGCCTCACCGGCATCGGGCCTCAAGCCTCAAGAGCGCGGAAACGTTCCGCGCGAGCGCGCGTCAGCATTGCACGAGCAGCATAGTGCGTTACACCATGGAAACGCGAAGTGTAGCAAAGCGACACGCGCAGACATAGCGCGCGTCAACCAATCCTCGCTCAGCAGATCAGCGCGCGCCAACAAAACGTGCGCAGCAAAGCAAAGCGAGTCTGCATAGCGAGCGCGTGTGACGCTTGCGCACCAGCAAACCGCACGGTGTCCCATGTCATCCAGATTCGCGGCCCCCGCCAGCCAGCCTACTGCAGCCACTAGTAACGCTAGCAGCCACTAGCGCTAGAGCCTTCCGCCGCCCACATCAACCCACAGTCGCGTTCCCCCGTCCACATTCCCCCTTCCGCATTACCCCTTCCGCATTCCGTCTTAAGCATTCCCCCTTCCGTATTCCCCCTTTCGCATTCTCCCTTCCGCATTCCCCCTTCCACATTCCCCCTTCCGCCTTCCCCCTTCCACCTTCCCCCTTCCCCCTTCCGCCTTCCCCCTTCCCCCTTCCGCACTCCCATATCCGCATTCACCCTTCCGCATTCCCCCTTCCGCATTCCCCCTTCCACATTCCCCCTTCTGCATCCCCCCTTCCGCATTCCCCCTTCCGCATCCCCTCTTTCGCATTTCCCCTTCCGCATTCCCCCTTCCGCATTCCCCCTTCCGCATTCCCCCTTCCGCATTCCCCCTTCCGCATTCTCCCTTACGCATTCCCCCTTCCGCATTCACCCTTCCGCATTCCCCCTCCCGCATTCCCCCTTCTGCATTCCCCCTTTCGCATTCCCCCTTCCGCATTCCCCCTTCCGCATTTCCCCTTCTGCATTCCCCCTTCCGCATCCCCCCTTCCGCATTCCCCCTTCCGCATTCCCCCATCCGCATTCACCCTTCCGCATTCCCCCTTCCGCCTTCCCCCTTCTGCATTCCCCTTTCCACATTCCCCCTTTTGCATTCACCCTTCCGCATTCCCCCTTCCAAGTTCCCCCATCCGCATTCACCTTGTCAGAAACGAGCAGCAGGAATGAATGAACTATGAATTAGTTTGGTATAAAATCTAACCCCAACTGGGTTCTACCCCATATTGGCTACCCCACTACAGCCTACACAGCACAATATTCTGACACACCCCCATAGGCAAGGTGGGGGAGTACAAGCAGTCACAGAAAAGCAAAGCAAGCTCAGGGTGGATCACGAAGTCACCACGTAGTCCGAGCACAAGCAAATGGCAACAAGGCCAGTTCACATGCAGAGTTATAAAAGCAAACAGTATAATGATCACCACCTAGCAAGTGTAAGCATGCAGGTATATATATAGATCACAATACAAGCAAAGTCACGTAGTGAGCAAGTGAGAAAACGTAGGCACGAGGCCTAAAGCAGTACAGAGACGCTGATGATCACCAGACGGAAGTGCCTTGGTGAATATATTAGCAGTGTTGGCCCGAGTGGCCATGTGAGCAAGACGAAGCTGGCCACGCTGCTGCAACTCTCGAGCAAGGAAGTAACGCAGAGCGATGTGTTTCGTTCTCTGCTCTAGTCCGTGCTCCTCATACAAGGCAATAGCGGTCTTGTTGTCTACGTACAGAACTGGAGGAGAACTAGGCCGCTCTCCCAAGTTGGTCAGCAGGTAGGTGAGCCAGCGTAACTCCTGTGCAGCCATGGATCCTACGTAGATCTTGCGGAGATAACTCTGTCAAAGGGAGCTAGACTACGGGCTAGGCACAAGGTAGGAGTGATCTCTGCGTTCGTTCCTTAGTCGTTTGCCTGTGTTCACACTACTTGCGCATTCATGGGGAATATTGGCAAGAGTTTCACTAGCAAAAGTTCACAACAATGATTCAGAATGATGGCAACAACATTGGCATGCAAGGCTACATCAGAGCTAGCACAGCTGCTGGTCGACTTCCAGCGCAGCATGGTCGACCGCGGTCCAGCGCAGCAGAGCTCGCACCGCTCCAGCGCAGCAAAGTAGCGGCTTGCCAACGTCGCAAGTCTGCGGTGCGCCAACGCTGCAGCAAGTCGGCTGCACAGCGTTGCATCCGCAGGACAACGGTGCACCTGCTTCGCAGGTGCGTGCAGCTGGTTGGTGCTCCACGCCTTGTCACGAGCACAGCGCAGACGCCCAGGTCAACTCCATGCCTGCAACTGCGCCTACCAGCCACGTCGACCTCGGGATACCACCCCCGAGGTCGCCCTCGCAGAATCCATCGCGGCGACCTTCGCACACGTCGCCCGGGTATCCCGGTCGACTGGGCAATCACGCCTGATCGCCCGGCGTCCCCAATGGTTGGCGCCCTCCACCTCGACGTCATGGCATTCGGCGCCTGGCTGTTCGGCGTTCTACTACTCGACGCCCTCCAGCCCGGCGTCCCCAGACTCCCCTGTCGAGGTCGACTTCGGCTCCCCCTTTCGTCGACCACCAAGTCTGGTCGACCACCAGGTCGACAACTCTCTTGTCAGCCGGCCTCCCAAGTCGGCTGCCTCAAGTCGGCGTCGCCAAGTCGACGCCCGTGCACGCCGACCTCGCCAGGTCGACCTCCCAAAGTCGGCGCCCTCCAAGTCGGCGCCCTTGCAGTGGCTCCCGTGCAGGTCGACCAACCTCGTCGACCAGCTTGCCCACTGCTGCAGGTCGGCTGCATCTCCCCTTACACCCGACCACAAAGTCGGCTCCGCCCAAGCGAGGACAGGGCCACACCTAACTCCCGTTGACAGATCTCAGCCTCACAACTGGAGCTGAGAACAGAAGACGAGCGGGTAGAACGCCAAGAAACAGAGCCGAAACTAAGGCTGAAGGTGTAACCCTGTGACGACCGCTGCGTAGCCAGGTCGTCCACCCAAGAGGCGTCCGAGTGACCAGTGAGGACAACTGGACCCTGTCCTCCAAGCACAAGCCCCATGCCTGATGTACTGCACAAGTAGTGCAACACCCTCTTAGCAGCCTCCCAGTGCTCTCGCCGGTGTCTCCCGGGCGCAACGTAGCGAGCCAGGATGCTAAGAGGGTACGCAAGGTCAGGTCGAGTGCAGGTCATCAGGTACATGAGGCAGCCGACAAGCTCTGGATACGGGCCACTCGGCTCTAAGGACTCGTCCGAAGGTGGAGCAGAGAGCGAGTGACCGGTAGGCAGAGGAGTGGACAGTGGCGAGGAGAACTGGAAGCCGAAGCGCTGAAGGACCTGCTGCACCATGTGTGACTGAGTCAGGGTGATGGTGTGCCGTGCTCTGTCCCGGGTGATCTGCAAGCCAAGATAGCTGCGCAACTCACCCAGGTCTGTGCACGTGTGTCTCTTTTGCAGCTCCGACTTCACAAGGGCCAGTGCCTCAGTGTCAGCAGTGGCAAAGACCAAGTCGTCGACGTACACGAGGATGTAGAACAGCGGCAGCGAAGTGTCGGTGCGCAGAAACCGAAGGAGCAAACCCGAGAGCCGCAAGTGTCGTCCTCAGTGTTTCGTGCCACTCACGAGGCGCCTGGCAGAGACCGTAGACTGGCCGCCGGAGGCTCCACTGGGTAATTGCAAGAAACGACCCAGTGAAGCCAGGTGGGCGGCGCAGCCAGATCTCCTCGTGCAGGCTGCCCTGTAAGAAAGCTGTGCTGAAGTCAAGAGAGTGAAGCTCGTAGTCACGCTGAGCAGCAACGTGCAGCAGCACCCGAAGAGTGGTCATCTTCGGGGGAGGGGAGAAGGTCTGGAATAAGTAAACTCCCTGTCGCTGACTGAAGCCTCGAGCAACGTAACGAGCCTTGAAGACAAGCGGAGAACCCGGCGGCCGCTTCACCATGAAAATCCACATGCCATCGACGATGTTCGCCCCGGGAGGGGGAACTGCGTCGACGTAAGTGTCTGTGGACTTCCAGGATGCCATCTCTGCGTCCATGGCTGTCTGCCACTGAGAGGAGTAGGGACCCGTAATACCAGAGAAAGCAGACTCACTAGCACCTAGAGCAGCAGCCTCTATACCTGGGTCAGGCGGCACACACAGGTAACAGTCACCCTCAGCACTAACAGTCAATGCATACATGGCAGCAAGGATAGCATCATAGTCAAGAGCAAAGATATCAACACCAGACTCAAGCAGCTCTGCCCAGCGAGGAAGCTCTGCCTCATCGCCAAACTCAATGCGCCAAGCATAGTCTAGGCGGGAGAAGCAGCGATGCTGGGTGTGAATCACGCACGTTTGACCAGCGTGGTCACCTGTGCGAATGAAGTACGGGCAGCGAACACTACCCCCAGACCCCCCGCGCTGAGCAAACCACTCATGAAGCTGCTGGGGCAAAGGGGTCTCACGCGAACCCTGCTGCTGCTGCCGCTGAACTGCTCCAGCCCGACCACCACCACTGCTGCCACCACCACTCCCACCGCCGCCACCACCGCCGCCACCACTCCCACTGTTGCCACGAGCACCACCACCACCCCCACCGCTGCCGCCACCGCCGCCACCGACGCCCCCACTCCCGCCACCACTCCCACCGCCACATCCGCCACCTCCAGCGCCTCCAGCGCCTCCACCACCCCCCCCCCCCCCCCCCCCCCCCCCCCCGCCGCCACCTCCACCACTCTTGCCTCCCTTGCCCTTGCCGCTGCGGCGCTTCCCACTAGGAGCAGAAGCAGCCCCGACCTCCTCAGCACCAAGGAAGTCGACAGCAGCAGCAGTAGCAACAGAGGGGGCAAGGGGGGAGGGGGAGCACCCCTCAAAGAAGGGCGTGCGAGGAGTGCCACGAGCAGCACCTACAGCGACTATGCTAGTCTCAGCCGCAAGAAGGCGCTCCTCGAGTAGGTCGACAGTGAGGTCAGTGGGGTCAAGGGCAAGAAAGTGGTCTCTGACAGCGCAAAGAGAGTCAGCGAGGCGTGTGGCGATGAAATAGAGAGTGATGTACATCGGGGGCGGGCTCTTGTATGGGAACTCGGCTTTAAAGCCAGGGTCTCATGTACGGGTTGGTCGTGCAACTGCAAAGCACTTGGGCGAAAAGTTGGCTGTTTGGCGAGTCTCGATTCGACAAAACTTTTGCCTCAAACCTTCGAACCAATCAGACAGGCCCTTTTTTCATCGACTGCAAAGCACTTGGTCACTTGAGACCCTGGCTTTAAGCGCGGCGCAGTAGCGAGTGTCGCTAGTGCGAAGGTGGGTGATGAGGTCAGCAACTGTGGCAAAGGAGGACAGCTCGGGAAAGAGGTAGGGCAGTATAAGGCGGAGCTGCAGAAGAGACACACGTGCACAGACCTGGGTGAGCTGCGCAGCTACCTTGGCTTGCAGATCACCCGGGACAGAGCACGCCGCACCATCACCCTGACTCAGTCACACATGGTGCAGCAGGTCCTTCAGCGCTTCGGCTTCTCCTGGTCCTCCCCACAGCCCACTCCTCTGGCTACAGGTCACTCGCTCTCAGCTCCACCTTCGGACGAGTCCGTAGAGCCGAGTGGTCCTTACCCAGAGCTAGTTGGCTGCCTCATGTACCTGATGACCTGCACTCGACCTGACCTCGCATACCCTCTTGGTCTTTTGGCTCGTTACGTGGCTCCTGGCAGGCACCGAAAGGTGCACATGGATGCTGCCAAGAGGGTGTTGCGCTACCTGTGCAGTACATCAGGCATGGGGCTTGTGCTTGGAGGACGGAGTGAGGTGGTCCTCACTGGGCACTCAGACGCGTCTTGGGTTGACGACCAGACTACACAGCGGTCGTCACAGGGTTACACCTTCAGCCTTGGCTCTGGCTCTGTTTCTTGGCGGTCTACACGCTCGTCTTCTGTTCTCAGCTCCAGTTGTGAGGCTGAGATCTACGCCACCGCCATGGCTGCACAGGAGCTACGCTGGCTTACCTACCTGCTGACTGACTTGGGTGAGCGGCCTCGTTCTCCTCCAGTTCTGTACGTTGACAACAAGGCGGCCATTGCCTTGTGTGAGGAGCACAGACTGGAGCACAGAACGAAGCACATCGCTCTACGTTACTTCCTGGCTCGAGAGTTGCAGCAGCGAGGCCAGCTTCGTCTTTGCCACGTGGCCACTCGGGCCAACACTGCTGATATATTCACCAAGGTACTTCCGTCTGGTGATCATCAGCGCTTTTGTACCCTGTTAGGCCTTGTGCCTACGTTTCCACACTTGCTGTGACTTTACTTGTACTGTGATCTATGTATATACTTGCATGTTGGCTCTTGCTAGGTAGTCATCACTGTATTGTTATTGCTGCATATATATCTCTGCATGTGAACTGGCCTTGTGGCCCTTTGCTTGTGCTCAGAGTGTGTGGTGACGTTGTGATCCACCCTGAGCTTGCCAATAACAATACAGCCCAATTAGGGTTTACTACTTGTACTCCTGCATGCTGCTAGTTCATTCATTCCTGCTGCTAGATTCTAACAAATACATTTTGCTTATTTCATTTAATCAAGCCTAAAGTAATCATTCGACAATTTTTACACCAACAAATGGCTTGTTTAACAAAATGCGCGGACCAACAAATAGCAAAGTGAAGAGACACACCTCGGATTTTGCTGGTCGTGGCTACGCATCGACTTTGTCTATGTCCATCGGGTCGGCAAACGTGGGGGGTGCCAATCGCTCCGTGCCTAAAGATCGGTTTGGCACGTGGCATCGTGTTTCAGGTTGACCACGCGTCAGCGCATCGTATCGCTCTGCTGCGCACACCATGTCGCGATAGCTAGTGTAGTTCGCGGCGATCACTTGTCGTTGTATCTCCATTTTCAGTCCCTCAGTGTACGCCTGCAGTTTTCCCCTTCGGTCAGGTCTGGAATTCGGTTGAATAACTGCTCCATCTACCGCGTGTATTGTGTTTCCCCTTCGGCCAGGTCTGGAATTCGGATGAATAACTGCTCCATCTAATGCGTCTATTGTGTTTCCCCTTCGGCTCGGTCTGGAATTCGGATGAATAACTGCTCCAACTACTGCGTGTATTGTGTTACGCCGCCATACTATTTGAGACGATGAATCTGCTGCCGCGCGATCAGGTCTGCCCGAAACTGTGTCCATGTTCCCTCGCCCCGGACCACGTTACTGTAGTAGATCCACTCGAGCGCTGGGCCTCGCAACAGTGTCGTTGCGAGCCAAACCCTTGCTGCATCAATTGTCGGGGTCGTACAACCAATGACGTCGAAATATATTTCGAGTGTAGCCACGAATCGTCGAACGTCCGATCCCTTCGCGCTTGGATCGAACGCTTCCGGGAACCTCGGCCGAGCTGCTTTGAGGTTCGGCGAAGCTGGTGCCACTGCTGCGTGAAATGTCAGTGTTGCCGCTACTGCTGCTGCTGCTGCTGCTGCCGTCGACGCTGCATTCGCTGCTACCGTGGCGGTTGCCGACTGGTTCGCGAGGAACGCCTCTATTCGCTGGAGCGCCGCCCGTGTCTAGTCCATGTCGGTGCGTAACTGTGTAATTTTTTCGTACGAAATTATCACCATTTTCCTCCATTTGGCAATTTACAGGAAGATTTGCAACAAAAACAATTCAACTTTGGGCGCTGGTCAACTTACTGCGAATCGAATCGACTGTAGAAATGTCGAGCGCCGTTTCTGTATGTCGCGGAATTCTCGCTTAGTCAATTTCGCGTCAATTTCGATCTGACGCTCCAAATTCCAACTTTTGTGGGTGAAATTCTCTGGGCCGTTGAGATGCGTTTCGATCGGACGGTCGAAACTCCAATTTTTTCGCCAATAAATCTGAGGGGTGTTCGAAAACCGGATCAAGGCCCAGTTCGGCAGTCATTAAAAAAACGGTTTCCCCGTATGGGCTACAGTAAACCGACCACCCTGGAACCTTCTTTGATAAGCGCGTGAAAGGTTATCTAGGCTCGATATAAGCGGATCAGCACCGAACGAGACAATAATGGAATGCCAGCCGAACACCCCTTTTAACGCTGGAAATTTCCACCAGAGGAACCTTCCTCGAACCCTATTTCTCAGGCAAACTGGCCATGATCTCATCCGCCGTACCATGCGGCCTCGAGGTCCCGCACCATGCGGCGGATCACTAATTCAGGGCAATCACTTCTTACCCTGAAAAAAAACTTTTCCCAGTCTTTCTCACCCGTCTTCGTGCCCGCTGGAAAATCGCACATCACCAACACACCGTCACTAACACATCATCGACGGGCTGAACCCATCGACGGGCTGAACCCAATTTTTTAGACGTTTCCAGCTGGTTTGCAGGGCTGTGCGTGCTGCCCGTACAGTGGTTCTGTGCTCCATCAGCGCAGGTGCAAGACGGGCTTCTGCGAAGTGTCGTTTTCGGTTGATGCCATTAATATTGGCCCATTTAATGCCAACCGAACACACGGGCCCATTTTTCCAAGGTTTCACTGCAGCTGCAGTCTGCTTTCGCATCAGTTTCGGGAGGCCAGTTTTTGGGGGCCCGTTAAAAATGCCCATAATGGCGATAATGGCGAGAATGCCTGCCGAACTGGGCCCAAGGGGGGCTCAGAAAAATTGTGCGGAACTAGTTTTACATTCCCGAATTGGCGCTTTCGTCGTCGCCCCCGCGGTTTTTAAGGCCGGTTTCGCTTGTAAACGAGCTCTGATTACCACATCTGATGATCAATAGGATCGATTCTAGAAAGGAGAATGAAATTGATTGATTCACCTGGGTACAACACGAGGCTATATATAGTCTCGACACAAGGCCAGTAACCCAGGTGTTACGCGAAGATTTCGAGGATCGGGAAGCATCCCGAATGGAGCCTTCTTGAATTCGGTAGAAGGCAATTCGGTGGCAACCGAAAAGCCTAGAATTCAGTGCACTCAACCTAGTTCGGTGCCTATAACTATAATAAAATATAGGAAAGCACCTAACCTAGGAAATCAAGCATGCATGATGAAATAAACCTAAGCTAGAAATAGCACTATAAAGGCAATGCAAGCATGCAATGCTAGCATAAGCCGTCGTACTCTCACAGCCATGTCTTCGACACTCAAGAAGATCCCCTCGTAGGACCCGCTTCGGAGCAGCTTGAAGGGATCCTACGCGGGCGACACCGTGGAACTTTTGATGCGTGCGAAGTGGCGCGACCCTACTCCATGGAGGAGTTCATGAAGGTCTACCCCCACTGGCGCGACCCTAAGAAGAAACGTATCGTCGCAGAAGAAGAGGAGCTGGCACACCGCGAGGCTGAGGAGCTTCGCCAGAAGAGCATCGCTGATGCCCGTGGAACCTTCGCCTGCGGAGCATGGGGCGCAGCAGAAGAAGAAGGTGCCTCCAATGACGGGGTGTGGGGCAGCAACGACGGCTGGGGAACCAGTAGCGGCAGTACTTGGGGCAACAATGAAGGCACCTGGGCTGATGCCAGCGGAGGATGGGGCACCACTACCAGCGGCACCAACGGCGGATAGGTACTTCCGACGGAGGCTGGTGTGCCGCTCCCCACTGACGTCTAGCCGAAACGCGACCCTTAAGACACCATCGACTGGGGCAACGAGCCCTCAACCCCACGTCGCACTGTCTGCGGACACGATCTCGAACCGCGCGAACCCACATTTATCCACGGAACAACTTCTGGGATCAGCATCCCTCTCAGTTATTCCCGACAGAAAATTCCTCGCGCTAATGCTGACGACTGCAAACAAAGAAGCAAGAGAGGAAGAAGCGCCAGCAGAACCAACTCCAGTACCTGAAGAAGACCCCGAAGTGGTGCGTGCACGCTACATGTGCACCTCCGGACTCCGCGACCTGTGGCATCAGCGCCCTGGTCATCTCTTGCACATGAGGCTAAACAACTGCATCGAGGTAGGCGTGTTCGCGCCTGGCGCACTCCTACGCCCCGACGGCTCCAAAATCAGGACCACATCGCAGCCCCGCAACTGCACTGTCTGCCCTGAAGCCGTGCTGAGCCATCATCCATTCCTATTGCTGGAGCCAAAAACCAGCCACTA